GGGGCAAGCCTGAGGGAAATAAAGGGAGAGGAGGAGCCGATCATAACTATTAATTTGTTTTAAAGCTGTGTTGATTTAACAAGCCCGATCACATAGTTTCGAAGTGGAGCATAGGTATTCAGCTAGTTATATATATATATATATATTTGTATTTGTAAGAAAGTTGAAGAAAGTTGATAAATTAGAATGAACTTAAATCTTTCCAAATTAAAAAAAAACTTAATCAGTACAACTGTTCCTTTGGTAAGAATTGGATCTGTTTGACAGAAATAAATTGTATGTGTATTTTTCCGTTAATTAGGTCCTTCAGATGAGGCTGTGGAAGAGATGGAGGAAGATACAGTTGCCAATGGATCTTAATTTTTTTTTTTTACACCTTGGATAATCTACAATGTACTATTGTTTGGTTTTTTTCTTTCTGGATTATGTTTTTTGTTGTGTTAAGAAGCAACTATGAAAATACTCCAATTGTAGTTTGTAAATTTTATACTGTACATTTGCAGTTAAATAAAACTGCATTTTTTTGAACTGGATCACACCATGATGTGAACTTTTTACCATGTTTAAACTATGTTCAACTAGAGTAATGCCCTAATAAACTAGCAGTACTAGATCTGTTGGGGTCTCCCAACTATATCTGCTCTTAGGTTCAGTTTGGCAATTTGTTTAATCAGATTTATAGTCTTGCATTCAAATAAGGTTTCATTTAGTGCAGATTCAAAGTAGCAAAAAAGCAAAATGAAAAATGAACTGAGCAAAAGAAAAGCAGGTTAGTTCCTGCGCAAAGCAAATTTAGTATATATCTGGTGAAAATTCCATTAGTTGGCAGGGTTAAGACACCAATAATAAAATAAGTGGATTGTGACACCCAAGTTGCTGGAGTTGTAATGCCATGGAGATGCAGATTAAAAGGAATCGTGATTGATTCTTGAATCAACCATAGTTGATTCTCCATTCTCTATCAAATGGTGAAATAGACCTGTTTTACTTTTTTCTGATTTTTTTAAAAGCTTGTCATGATAAACCAAATAACAAGGTCTATATGCCTGGATTTGTTTTGTCAGTGGTATTATGAAAGTAACTTTTGATCTGCCTCTTGGGACAATATCTAATTGGTAGAGCACCCAGGAACTGAAATATCTGTCCTTGAAACCCCTTGTTACTTGGTCAGAAGTGGTGTATTATTTCTACAAATGAATATCATGAGAGACATCTTGGTGTTAAAATCTAACGAAATCAAGAGACCACTATGCTTTGAGTCTAGATGGGCTTGTTGCTGTTGTTAGTTGCGAAGTCGTGTCCGACCCACTGCGACCCGATGGACAACGTTCCTGCAGGCCTTCCTATTGTCTACTAACCCCCAGAGTCCATTTAACGTACGCCGACTACTTCAGTGACTCCATCCAGCCACCTCGTTATCCCCTTCTTCTTTTGCCCTCCATCTTTCCCAGCATGAGGCTCTTCTCCAGTGAGTCCTTCCTTCTCATTAGGTGGCCAACGTATTTTGAGTTTCATCTTCAGGCTCTGGCCTTCTAAAGAGCAGTCGGGGTTGATTCCCTCTAGGACTGAC